TCCATGACAGACCTCTTCAAAGATCATGTGAAGGATTTGGAGGGCGAGGTGGCTCTATTGAAGAGGGCTATGCACAATCGGACTATTGTGGGAGAGAAGCCATCATCTTCCAAAATCAAAATTCAAGAACCAAAGTCATTCGGGGGTAAGAGGAGTTCCAAAGATCTGGAGAATTTCTTATGGGATATGGAGCAATATTTTCGAGCAGCCCACATTCCAGATAATGACAAGGTAATTATTACCAGTATGTATTTGTCTGGTGATGCTAAATTGTGGTGGCGAACTCGGGTGGAGGACGAGTTACGCCCAAAAATTACTGTATTTGCAGAGCTGAGGAAGGAACTGAAGGAGCAGTTTCTTCCAGCAAATTCTGGCTGGTGGCTTGGGAGTCATTGAGGAGACTCAAGCATACGGGTACAGTGCATGAATATATGAAAGAGTTCACATCTTTGATGCTGGATATCAAAGATATGTCCGAGGGGGACAAATTATTTAATTTCATGGCAGGCTTGCAATCATGGGCACAAATCGAGTTAAGGAGGAGCGGTGTGATCGACCTCTCTTCTGCTATAGTTGCAGCAGACAGCCTGGTGGACTTGCAGATTGAAAAGTCTAACTCTACTATCGCCAGCAAACTGAAGAAGAAGGGCAAGTTCAGTGACAAGCCCAAGAGGTATGGTATTGCTGAGGAAGAGAAAGACAAAGGGAAGCCAGAGGCGACGTTCATCCAGCAAAGGCCAAAGCTGGACAGTGGTTGCTTCATTTGCAAGGGTCCACACAGGGCGAGGGACTGTCCTAAAAAGGAGAATGTGAATGTTATGGTTGCTGAAGAAGCCAATGGAAGAGATTCAGACTCGGATGAGGGTAATGTTCGGGTCAATCCTCTTGTCATGCAGTCATGATAGGCGCAGGTGGGCGCGTGGCTTTGGGGGAAGGCTATGTAGAGATGCTCACAGAGTTATTGCCAAGGTTGGTAATGGTGAATTTCCTCTTTATTTGTTTTTCTGATTTAGGTTGCTGGTTATGAGGACAGAATCCAAAGGTGTTCAGAATTCATGTCATGAATCATTGCGGAGGTTGGGGTTTATGGCATTATTCAAGTGCAGCAATGGAGTTATTGCAGTGTTAATTTTCAGCATTTGGGTTGGTCGGGGCCAACATGCTAAGTTGCAGGTAGAGACTTGTGACACTTTATGATTGCTTCAATGAGGACGTTGAAATTCTTAAGTGGGGGAGGTTTATTACGGGATTTGGACCTTGACAAGCCCCCTGACAGCCATGGGATGCTGTCAGCGTGCACTGGGGGTGCCCAGTGGCATTTTAGTAAATATGGCAAAAAAGTGAAGCTTGGAGTTTTGGCTCGGGATCTTTATGGGAGGTACTTTGAGTCCATAGAAGATGGTTAGCGCAGACGGTACTCGATTTGGATGTCGTGCACTTTGAGACATTTATATATGGGTGCAGATTAGTGAGCTTGGCACGGGCTAAGTTCATAAGGTTGGCTCAAATGTTGCTTAAAGCATGGACCACACAAGTCATAGACGTGTGGCATAGTCAAGTCAAGGACATAGGCATAAGGCAGTGGGCGTAGGCAAGGCTCAGCGTGCAAGGTTGGCTCAGGGGACTCAGACATGGCTTATGGTTACAGAAGATGGCTAAGTGGGCTCAGGTGGTTGGGGGAAGTTACACTTCCCACTAAGTGGGCTTAGTTGGTTGGGGGAAGTTACACTTCCCACTAAGTGGGCTTAGTTGGTTGAAGGGAAGTTACTAACACTTTCCACTAAGTGGGCTCAGTTGGTTGGGGGAAGTTACTAGCACTTCCCACTCATGTGGGGAGTGGGGTGTGCTGAATAACTTCCCATCCATGTGGCACAGATTTGAGAGGACAACACACAGGCGGTTGGAGGTGGTTTCTTCCACTATGCTGAGTGTAACTTCCTGTGGACACGTGGCATGAGCAAAACATGCCAACAAGCTAGTAGTTGGACTTGTCAACTACATATGTAGTGTTGGCACACTTAATGGGTGCCAACATGACCCTAGGTGGATGGGGGTGTCATCCACCACTTTAGTGGGTAGTTGTGAGTGGATGGGGGTGTCATCCACCACTTTAGTGGGCAGTTTTGGGAGTTTGCCTATATATTGCTAATGTGGGTTCTGTAGAGAGGGCAGATAAAGAGTGAGACACAGAGTTGTGTTGTGAGAGACTCTTGTATGCTTCTGCAGGTTGAGGACTTTTCTTGTACTATTTTGTCAATAATAGTAAAAGGTTGGAAGCCTTGTGCTTCTGTAAAATCGTGGGTGTTATTGTCTTTACATTCTTACAACTATACTTGTGTGTGAGAGTGTTTTACTTGCTGTGTGTTCTAGGCAGCAAGTGTGAGTTGGCTGAGCTAAGTTAGAAATTCAGAGAAAAGTTCTTCATATTTCTAGCTTAGTGCCATTACAGGCCACTAGATTCGTGTTAAGAATTTACCCCCGTGACAATAGACATGATTGGCCAAAGAGCCATCACTTGTTAGCTTTTCAATGATTGGCCTCAGAGCACTAGTTAAGTTTCCAATGTTTCTCTCTCTTGTCCCAGTTTGACCGGAAAGAAAGGGAATGGAAGGATTTGGAGGAATGTATTAAAGTTTGATGGGTTGGTTTTATTCTGCTCTTAAAAATTGGAGGAAATGAAAGAAAAGACTATTATTTTTAATAAAAAAATTATTAATAAAAGACAATTTATATATATATATATATAATAGTTTGCATATTTGCATGGTTTTATTAAAATAGTTTCTTTTCTTTCTTTCTTAAGACTATAATTATCATTAGTATTTGCATGGAGATACCGAAAACAGAGGAGAAAAAAATGAAAATGTGGATGTCAAATACTACTATTAATTGTTGCAAACATTGAAGCTTTCCAAACTAGAACTTAATTAGGGAACCAAAATCTTCATCATATTGTTCATACAATTTAGATCCACCAACAGGGGAAAAAGAAAGAAGCTACAATATATATATATATATATATTTGCTAGCTTGACATGATATACATAACATTTCTGCTATCTCAGGCCAAGCAATTTATTATATATACTAAGGGAAACCTTTCTCCTCCAGAATTTGCACCACCCAATCAAACCCTGCATGTCACAAAATTAAGAAAGAAATAAGTCAAATTGAGTTGAAACAATTCATTCAAATTATATTAACTTTTGAAAAAACCAAACACACACACACACACACATATATATATATATATATTGTCAATGAAGTGTGTGTGCTTTTGTGTTAGAGAGAGAGAGAGAGAGATGTTACTTTGTGCAATCCGTGTTGAAGTCAATGGGTACAGGGAGAGTGATATTGCAAAGCTGAGGAAGCTGCTTAGCTTTGTCAGGGTTAACCCCTAAAACTGGTGCAACTTTCTTAAAGCACTCACACACTGTTTTTCGATCATCTCTAGAAGAAACCAATTGATTCAGAGACTAAACACTCTGACAACATGGAACAGAGATAGGAACAAAGCCCACCAAGTAACCCTGGCATGACAAGAGCTTCGTGATGGCGTCTTGGCATGTGATGCCATAAACCACAGGGCTTATAGCAGCCATAGCCAAAACCACCAAGCCCAATACAAACAATGTGGAACCCGTCATCTTCTTCTCCATATCTCTCTCTCACTTGATCAATATATATTAGAACTATATATATTGTATATGTTTTTGCTAGAAATGCTTCTCTGGGATGAAGTTGATGCCCATTGTGCACACTCTATTTATAGTGAAATGGCAAGAAAATGATGGGTGGTAAATCTTCTACCAAGGGCATGTTAAGGAAAGAAAATAAACATAGATAGGAGGATTGTTATCACGGTCAAGATTGTTCAATCTTATTTATTGAATATGTGTCACATTATAGGAATCATTTAATTTACGTTATTGACCAAGTGAGCCCGACACTGGATTACACTCTAAGCATATCTCTATTTTGAAGAAATTTTAATATTGAATGTGCATATTCATTAGGTGAGTAAAGTTCGAAAATTATTTAGCGCAGGCCATCTTCAAACTCCCTACCCCAAATAATTTAAATGTCATGTCACACGAGGAGAGAACTTTTATACCCTCCAAATGCCAACTATGATGCTTGAAGCCAATGACCGGAGCTATAAAAGGACACTTGATACAATGCATGAGCGTATTTATATATTAATTGCATATTTGAAAAATAAAGGTGATGGTTTAGTAGTGAGTGCCCAATAGGAAAGGGAATGTGGGGAGGTCTCAATTTTAAGGGAAAGGTGATTAATCCAAATGTTGATTGTTCTCAATTTTGAAGGAAAGGTGCATATAAGGATTAATCATAACTTCATATTATTATTTAAATTAAAATAATATTCTTTACAATTTTTACTGTCATTTAAAGGAGAGATTTAAAGGAGAGAGATTTCCCTAGGGTGGGGGCGAACAGAGAGACTAGTTAAAAATCACGGTGCTAGGTTGAAATCATAATGTTTTCATATCTAATAGTCTGATCGAATCACTTATAATATTCGGATGCGTTAAAGTTGGTCTATAATAGGATATATTTTAAAACATATGATGGTAGTACTTAAGTAGGTCTGATTATTTGGCCAGATAAATAAACTTAAATGTTTTATAGATATGTTAAAGAAAATATTTTTGAGTCGACTCCGAAATCGATGGAGTGATATGTGCTATGGACGTCTAAGCACAAACTTCGAATTTTATGTCAAGTCTATATTTGAATATGAAAAAGTAATGACACATGTTGGGAAGGCTAACTAGTTTCCCGAGGTGGTGAGTCCCTCACTGCACAATAGTTTGGTATAGCAAAGTTTTGAATTTTTCAGATGAAAAATCTATCAATTCATTCTTTTTGATTTAAAGCAATTCAAAACATTTCTTAATGAATAATAAATTACATACTGTACTTATTTATGATGGTTTTTTTTACCTTAGTAATTATTTTTTAAATACAATTTTGAGCAGTCCTAGACATATTGTAAAAAAAAGAAGAAAAAAGAAATATGCATCACCAAATGCATTTTGTATGCAAAAGCAATTTCATCAACTCGTGATTTACAATTGCTCTGAATCCTTATGAATTGGTGGTTACTATTCCATCATTTGAAACCGTCTGCAGCCCGGCCAACTCAGGATTCTAAAACCTAGACAAATTGATCCATGGAATGGAAAATTGTTTCAAATTTATGCCCTTGTGCTTTGGTGAAATCAAAACTGTGTCTTTGACTCGTTGCAATAATACATGCCCAAACAGCCCTTGCTTTTGTATATTTCTTCAACTGAACATCTTCCAGATTTTAACTGCCATGTTTACACAAAGATGGAAAACTATACAATGGATTAGGGATTAAAAACTTTGGAAATCTCTCTCTCTCTCTCTCACGCACAAGCCTTATGCTTTGAGCCTTTGGTGAAATCAATACATTGCCTCCCCCCCCTCCCCTCTCTCTCTCTCTCTCTCTCTCTCACACACACACACACACATACACAAACGCACAAGCCTTATGCTTTGGTGAAATCAATACATTGCACATTGCCTCCATGAAAAACCCCCTCCTCTCTCTCCCTCTCTCACACACACTCACGCACGCACAAGCCTTATGCTTTGGTGGAATCAATACATTGCACATTGCCTCCATGAACAACCCCCTCCTCTCCCTCTCTCTCTCTCTCTCTGACACACACACACACAAGTAAAAAGAAGATCAAGAGATACCAATTGTCTTGTTGAGCAACCGAAGAGTAAGAGATAACTGAATCACAAAAATGGTATGAAGCCATGTCCTGTCTAGCATGAATCCAAATACTGTAATCCCAGCTCTATTGTTCTCAAAATATGTCACTGCAACACATTTAACTCACTCAATACTTACTTACACATTGCAATATATCTTATATAACACAAAATATCATGGAAGTATTTGATCAACAACTCACCTAGAGCTTGCCTTTTCTGGTATGAAATAGAATTTGCAAAAATTGGCACCATATTTGTGTTATCCAGAATGTCATCTCCATCTCCTTCTTCGTTATCAGACTCATCCCAATTGCCAATGACAGGATATGTTGGGGATGAAGCAATCTGAGCTGTTGGAGTCTCATTGTCCAAATCCTCGACAGAGTTGATTGTCGAACAGATGTGCCACTTGGCTGCAAGGCATGTCACAGACTGTGCTTTGTGTGTGATCTTTGTCGCGCTGCGCAGACATATGAATAGCCCAGTCACCAGTGTGATGGAGCATAACTGCACCATAACAATAAGTTGCAATGTGTTAATCAGTCCCTACATAGATATGTACTCCCTTAGTCCCAACTTAATTAGTTTTTTTTCGAGAGTAACACTTTTTAAGAGAACATGTAAATGCATTATTATTTTTCTTTCTTAAATTGCCAAGTTATGTTTTCATGTTTGAATATATACATATATAATTAAATTAAAAATAAAGAAAAGATGGACTATATTAAATTGGGAAAGAGGGAGTATCTATTAGAAAGTTTAATGCATGAAAGTGTTTGTTTTCGTAGGAATGATGGATTACTGCAAGTTCTCCAGCTCGGAAGATATTGACTGTAGCTGAAGATTCAATTGTCACGAGCAGAGAAGCAAGCTGACTTGCTGTGACAAAGATTATTGTCAATAGAATAAATACTCGAAATCTATGGCTTATGATCCGGAGATTTCTTCGAATCCTGACGTGTTCAATCAAGATTGAACCCACATCAGATTCTTTTTCAAAGACCTGAGCAAAGTCGTCTAGTCTGAGTATCTGCAGGTAGCATATGAGCCGGAAGAGAACACACACGAGGAAGAAAATTGATGTCCGGTATAGCCACGAAAACAGCTGCAATGTGCAGGCAATGATGTTGCTCACATAGATGTTACCATAGTAGGGAATTTGGGTTCCGCCTGAGACAAACCACCATATTTTGTAGGCGCAATCCGCGACAAAACAGGGGAGGACAAAAGCAGACAGGAGCTTCATTGATCTCTGCAAGGACAAAAAGGTAGAATTCTGTTTTCAGACTAGGTCTAATAAACAAATGCATTAAGTGAAGGTTGTTAAGTTCATCTATTACATACAACATAATGAATTATTATTGCAAATTATGATAAATTATGTTCAAATATGAATAGTAAGAAACAATTTCAATGCTCTAGGGAGCCTTGTATGTCTCACCATTTGGAATCTGTTGACTTTTGAATATTTCAAATAATAAATAATTATGTAAAAACTTGACCTTTTATTCTGCCAGAAGAAATGCAACCCATTTTCTTGCTTTTTTTTATTAAAATTGTGGGACAATCTTGTAGTTTCAAATTTTATTATAGTTAGCTTGAATAGTGGTCAGCTTTTGTGCTTGAGAAGTAAAGGTCTACTTTTGCTTCATTTTCAAATCATGAAACTTTACCAAAATAGCAATCCCCTACACTTTGTAATGCCAGTTATAGTTGGATTAGTTATATATCATTTCTGGCAAGATGCTTAATTTCTCAAGAATCTGATGACAGAGCTCTTTAGCTATTGAATCTAGGTTCTGAAATTATTAAAACCCTAAAAATCCCCAGAATTGGAAAAACTGAACCAAAAAAAAAAAAAAAGAAAAAAAAAAGAAGACAACAATAGCACAATATATATACACATACATGTTTGTTTGTTTGTGTGTGTGTCACTGCATCATTAGGGAACAAGAAATGGGATAATCCTCTGCTCTAAAAACAGGGGAAAGCAATGGTAGCCTGATTGGATCACAAGAGCACCATGGACATATAATCAAACAACTACCAATAGTGGTCTACCAAAACCTTAATAACAATCTTCTTACACAAACTTATTCTAGATTGTATGAAGTTTGTAAAGTCAATCACGATCAACTAATAACTTTGCTCACAAATTCGAATGGATATCATATAGAAAGGATATCAATTAATTAGGCGTATAATAGACAAGTTGCAGATTGTTGGTCTCTATTGGAACTCTGTGTTCTAAAAATAAAATGATACAAGCAAACAAAAAGCAATTAAATCTGTAAATTCTCTCCTTTCATGTAATTAAAGCATAATCAAGTTCATCCAAAGAAGTCAAAATTAATATAAAATTTTGAGGTTAAAAAACAACAAACATAGGTATGACTAACATTGAATTGGGAATGAGCACATTATTCATCTGATCATAATAGAACTATGATTATATAAGATAAATTAGAAGAAATGGAAAGAGATGGTGATACATACATGGAGCTGCTGTGTATATCCTTGTCGAACCTTCTCACTCACATCACATAATCTATCAAGGAACATAAACCTCCTGAATCCGTATTTACGAGCAAAAGAAGAGAGACAGATGAATGAGAGCGTGGCGAAAACTGAGAGAGACAATTGGACAAATGCATCATAAGGCTTGCGGTGCTTGGAATCACAGGTTGAGCAAGAAAAGATGAAGTGGGAGAGAAGTGGAACACCAATGTTTAGAAGAAAGAAGATTGACCATGAGAGACCAGTTCTCCATAGATTGGATTGATCTAGACAAACCCATGTGAAAAATGTCCTGAAATTCTTCAACTCAACAACTCCTTCATGAATTGAGTACCCTGAAATTACATTGTTCTTCGTCAAGAAATGCTCTGTTTCATCTTCCATGGATTTGGTTTTGTTTCTCTTACTTGTTCCCTAAAAGAATCCGATCAGAGCCTTTGTTGAAGCCAGAATCAAAGGATGATAGAGAGATATTTTTCTTTAATATTTGATAAGAGAAGGTGACTTGCATGTATTGGAGAGGAGAGGAGAGGTAAAGGAAATTGCTTTTTCAACTCTCTCTCTTTCAATTGACTACTTTGTGTGTGTGTGTGTGTGTGTGTGAGCAATGATGTCCTATGGCATTCTGATATCTGCCACATGTGACTAATGACTTTGGTGTAATATTTTGTTACCTACTTCTCCGAAGTCTTTGTGATAGTGTCACTCATTACTGGCTATGAGCTTTTAAAAACAGGGGCAATATGGCCATTCACTTATTATTCCTAAGTTTAAACCTAAATTTCTAAAATGGATTGTATATAATCTAGTTTTTATAATTTTTTTTTTAAAAAAAAAAAATCTGAATTTTTTTATGGGAATTGAATTTCATTTTCCGGTTTATTGTTTATTTGGATTGTTCATGAATTTTATGGATCCAATATGAATTACGTGGACAAGGTTTGACTTGAAATGGATTCTAAACATTCAAATTAAGATAAAGAGTTGGATTTGATGTTAAAGGTACTGGCGCTTAAAATGTATTCCATATTAATACATGTCATGGATATATAAATATATATATACTAGGAAAAGGCACGTGCGATGCACGTGGTGAATATTTTGTAACTTATAAAATTTTTGTTTTCATATTGATTAATAAAAATTTATTTTATATTAATAAATAAATACTGAAATATTTTGAAATTGGTAATAGAGTTTAAGTTTCGTAAATTAATAAATTTTTTTATGTTTTTATATTAATACTGAAATATGTATATTTTATTTTTTATTAAATAATAATTTTTTATTTTAATAGTGAAATATTTGATTTTGCAAAGTAACAAATTTTTTTAGGTAATTTGAATTTTATTAGGTAATTTGTAATTTGAATTTTATTAGATAATTTGAAATTTAGTATAATTTTTAATTTACAATAGAAATTCAATTATATTAATTTTTAATTAAATTTTAAAATAGAAATTCAATTATACTAATTATACATTAGATTGAAATTGATATAAAAATTTATTATATGGAGTTTGTGGTTTTTGAAAGACTCTAGGTTATATTTTATTTTCTTTAAATATGTAATTTGTGGTAGAATTTTATAGAAATTATTTTATTTTATTTAGATATATCTTTGTAAAATTAGATTTTCTGTTATTAAAAAACTCATAAAAAATAGATAAATACAAGGGTTATATACTTATATGTGATAGAGTTCTCTTTTTCTATTAATTAATAAATATTTTTTATATTAAAAATAAATACTGAAATGTTCAAATTCTTTAACATTTATATTTTATTTATATGTATTATTATATTATTATATATTTTCTTTAAATATATCCTTGTTTAATGTGATAGAGTTATATAAATTGTTTTATTTTCTTTAAATAGATCCTTATTTAATTAGATTTTATTTTATTATAAAACTTATAATAAATACATAAATACAGGTTATATGTGATAGAGTTTTAAAGAAAATAAAATACTTAATTTGTGGTAAAGTTTTGGTAATTTGTGTTAGAGTTTTGTAAAAACTATTTAAATATAGAGTTTCATTGCAAATAAAATTATTTATTTTCTTTGTGGTAGAATTTTATATAAATTATTTATTTTCTTTAAATATATATATCCTTGTCTAATTATATATTTTTTTTATTAAAAAACTCATAATAAAAGATAATTTGTGGTAAAGTTTTAGAAAAATTATTTTATTTTTATACCAATTATTAAATTTTTTTATATTAATAATTCTTGTCTAGTTATATTATATTTTATTAAAAAATTCATAATAAATACATAAATAGGTAATTTTTATTAGAATTTTATATAAACACTTTTAAAAATATATTTTATTTTCTTTAAATATATTGTTGTCTAATTAGATTTCCTTTATCAAAAAACTCACAATAAATAGATAAAAACAAGTTATATGTGATAGAGTTTTAAAGAAAATAAAATAGATAATTTCTGGTAGAGTTTTATAGAAATTATTTTATTTTCTACAAATCTATTTATAATAAATAAATAAATAGGTAATTTGTGTTACAGTTTAATAGAAATTCTTTAAAAAACACTTTTTGTATCAATTAATAAATACTTTTTTATATTAATAACTCTTGTCTAATTAATTAGATTTCCTTTTATTAAAAAACTCATAATAAATAGATAAATAGGTAATTTATGTTAGAGTTTTATAGAAACTCTTTTCAAACCTCTTTTTATGTTAATTAATAAATATTTTTTTATCGTAATAATGCTTGTCTAATTAGATTTTCTTTTATTAAAAAAACTCATAATAAATAGATAAATAGGTAATTTGTGATATAGTTTTATAGAAACTCTTTTTAGATCAATTAATAAATAATTATTTATATTAATAATACTTGTCTAATTAGATCTCCTTTTATTAAAAAACACTTAATAAATATATAAATAGAAAATTTGAGTTAAAATTTTATAGAAACTCTTTAAATATTATATCTTTGTCTATTGTGATAGAGTTTTATTGAAAATAAAATTTGTGATTTGTGATAGAGTTTTATAAAAATTATTTTATTTTCTTTAAATATATCCTTGTTTAATTAGATTTAAATTTATTAAGAAACTCATAATAAAAGTTAATTTATGGTAGAGTTTTAGAAAAATTATTTTATTTTATATATCATTTAATAAACATTTTCTATATTAATAATTCTAGTCTAATTAGATTTTCTTTTATTAAAAAATTCATAATAATAAATAGATAAATAGGTTAACTTAAATTTTATTAGATAGATTTTAGAGTTTGATTGACATTTTTTTTGTTTATAAAAACTCTTTGCATATCAATTAATAAATATTTTTTTATAAAAATAGATAGTTAAATACGGAAACTCTTTGCACATGTAATAATACTATAGATAAAGACTTTTTTATATCAATTAATAAATATTTTTTTATATAAATACATAAACACCTTGGCACAACTTCTGTATTTTACTCAGAAAATTAGGTTTTCTTTTATTAAAAAATTCATAATAATAAATAGGTTAATTTGAATTTTATTAGGTAGATTTTAGAGTTTTTCATATCAATTAATAAATATTTTTTATATAAATAAATAAATACTGAAATACTGAAACTCATTCCACATTTAATAAATATTTTTTAAATAAATACTGAAACTTTAGATTTACTTTTATTAAAAAATTCATAATAATAAATAGATAAATAGGTTAATTTGAATTTTATTAGGTAGATTTTAGTGTTCCATAGAGTTTTTTTTTTCTTTTATTTACTTTTTTTATATAAAAACTCTTTTCATATCAATTAATAAATATTTTTTATATAAATAAATAAATACTAAAATACTGAAACTCTTTGCACATTTAATATTTTATTTTATTTAAATATATCCTTCTATAATTAAATTTAATTTTATTAAGAAACTCATAATAAAAGTTAATTTGTGGTAGAGTTTTAGAAAAATTATTTTATTTTATATATCAATTAATAAGTATTTTTTATATTAATAATTATTGTCTAATTCAATTTTCTTTTATTAAAAAATTCATAATAATAAATAGATAAATAGGTTAATTTAAATTTTATTAGATAGATTTTGGAGTTTGATAGAGTTTTTTTTTTTTTTTTTTTTTTTTTAAAAAAAATACTTTTCATATCAATTAATAAATATATTTTTTTATAAATAGATAATTAAATACTGAAACTCTTTGCACATTTAATAGTAGTATGGATAAAATCTTTTTTTATATTAATTAATAAATATTTTTTTATATAATTAAATAAATACTGAAACACTTTGGTAGAACTGTGATACCCCTCGGATCCGAAACACAGGTTGATCAGGCCCAGGCCCAAACTCGAGGGAAATATCAAACAATTAATATGTTATAACGAACACAGATGACAAAATGAATTTAAAAAATAAAATTTAAGGCGGAAAGAAACAAAAACAAAATCCTCAAATAATAAAGATTCAATAATCCAACTCCAAAACCTCTAAGGGTACAACTCGAGAATTCATCTCTAGTGGACCCCTAATAATAAACCAAGCAGTAATAAGAAAAAAATAACTGACAAGACATCCAGAAGTAAGCTTCGAAGAGAAGTCCTACATCGTTGGTAGAGTGAATAAAACCTCTACTTAGCACGAACACGTCTAAGTCTGGAACTGTCGTGTACCTGAAAAATAGAAGTGGGTCAGGCCCACGAATAAGTTCTATCCTATTACAATCCAAACAGAGACTCGATACGCATGTACATCCTAACCAATTCAACAATAGCTAATAGTCCGTAAATATATATATAGTCACACTAAAGGACTCTCACTGGACTACAGGTTGGTCTCAACCTGAATAGAGGCAACATGCTAAAACGCACACGAAGTGGGCATGTGTACCTAAACCTAGACAGGGTACACCTCTAACCGTCGTATCCAGTTATGCATCCCAATGCATATACGCTCCCTAACCGTCGATCCTGAGACTCAAGCTCATATCGAGGTACCATAATAATATATTTAAAATCCATCCAGAATCCGTAGTAGTGCCACTCAACAATACGTTGCCATGACACTATGAATTAATAGGATATAAATTTTAGTTAATCCATTCCTTGGTTCCCAGAGTAGGTAGGACTTAGCGGTTTTGAACTAATCCCCCTAGTATGTCATCGTCCCATACCGGTACACACCATCTATCCATTCAGCAAATGATAATACAGAACATGCATGTAAATATCATCCAATCCATAAATTCAACCATTGAGAATAAAAATATTAAATTTACTCCTCAACTGTTCCAGAATTAGCATATTAGAGTTGAGTATTTTAATAAGTTAATTTTCCCCTACACTACCACAGTCCAGCAATTGATAACATAGCAGTATACTCAATTATCCAATTATTCTCAGAATCCATATAAGTGAAAAGTCATGTTAAATGTACACATCCAGTATTATATCAGCAAGCTTGATAACCATAGACAAACTAACAAGCTTCTAACAACAGTTCAACAGTTTATACAATATATGCTAAA